GTGGATGTCATAGCCAGGGCACCCAGTGCGTAGGCAACCAACTTTGGTGAGCATCGTCCAAAGGTCTCCCAGCTTGGCAGTATCCTGAGACAGGCCGAGCTGGCAGCAGACAGTGCGGCACACTTCGCGGCAAGCCTCCAGCCGCTCTCGCTCTCAATGCGCTGGGCACAGAGATCCAAGTCAGAACGGTTCATCATGGCTGAAAGCTGGTCGTCCAGTCCCAGTCAGTCCCAGTCCAAACCTATGATGCGAAGCCTTGCGTGCATCAGAAGCAAGTTGACCAGTGAGTGTGGTTTGTTTGCTGCGCGCACGTGTTTACTTGTTAACGCGCGTGTAAAGATATATATGTCTGTGTGGATGTGATGTAGCGGGCACACCGCTGAACGCATGACCATGTAAATATAGGCAAGAAAAGTATCTACTTCGAGTAAAGACATGTCCTGAAGCGGAAGACACCGCTAAACAAGTTTCCGCGCCTTGGCGTAGCTGCCTTTTTTCATGTGTCCCAAAGATGTGAGCGGTATACTGCTTGCGCTGAACTTGCGCTCTGGACACTAGCGCAAACATGTCATGTACTGACCGTCCTGCGAGAAGCTATACCAAGCAGGGGCAACTGGAGGCCGTGTCTGCGATACCTTGGTGATGACCGTGTCGGCAGCGCGTCTCCATCGCGTGCCCCAAGGTTGCTCGTCCACCTTGTGTGCGGCGGTAGCCGCAGCGGTAAAGATATGACAACAGCAAAAACACCGCCAAAAGAAGTGAGTATAGTAAAATAATCCAAGTCGCAAGCTGAAAATTGTCGCGCCGAACGTAGATACCCTAGGTAGGATGCCAGAACCAATCGCGAATGATGCCGCCAACGTGGTCGTTGAACACAAGCATGTCTCCACTCGAGAGGCGTTGGCCGATGAGACAGCAGCCTGATAACGGCAAACAGTGCAATGGTACTATGACTTGAGCGGACACGGTGGTACATGAAAAAATCCAAAAACAATTTTGGTAAAGGTAACACATGAACAGCCTGAAGTGTCACAACTGGTATCGCCCAGTGGCTCTTGCTGGTCTGCAGCTCGGTCGTGACAAAGTACAGTTTGTCCTCAAGGCTTGCCTCTTCTATGTGACCCACAAGTTGCCAATGTGGCACGCCGTGCTTGTTGAGTTGGAGCAAAGTGTCTTGGAGCAGCCTGGGTAGCACCGACCGAGAAAAGGCAGAGTGGTTCTGCGCCAAAGAGTCCTGGCGGTCCGCTACGCCACTCTTATAGAGGCGATGTTTGTCCTCCACAGGCTCGCAGTCCACGAAGCAACCAGTCCTGAGAAGCTGAGCCGGCAAATGTAGCCTCATGTGGTGCTTTGGTTTGTGGTCTACATCGTAGACCGCAAACATATCATGATGACGTCGCTGCAGTTCGTCCAAGCGAGCCATGGACTTCTCGTTGATGAGGACACCGCCAAATTTTAGCGAGCTGGAACCAGGCCACTGGGCTCAATCGCCGTCAAGGTGAAGTAAAACAACAGGGGCAACAAAGCTGTAGTCTGATGCCTTTGGCCCTTGAACAAACCATCACCGTACAGGCGCTCGTGGAACAAGTTCTTGAGGTAGGTCCTGGTGCGGCCCGTCGACTTTGCAGAGACCCAGTTGCCAGCCAAGACAACATCTTGCAGAGCACTCAAAGTGAGCGGCGTGTGGTCAAAAACTATTTGCAAGAACAAGGCGATCTCCCAGCTACAGATGCCGTTCACGAAGTAAAGGTGCATGGCGTCTCCGATGATCCTGCTTGGGGCCATCTTGACTCTTGTAGCTGGGCTCCACAACAGAGATGCTGGATTGTAGGATAACCCGCTACACTTTTCCTGAGCTTCAAGGTCCGCCTTGCTGACAGCAGCCCGCAGACGCTCACACATCTGAAAGATATCATCATCTGATGAGGGCAGGAAACCAGAGCTAGCGGACACCTCCTTGAAGTAGCTGTCCGAACTGGCCACATAACCAGACTTGACGCAATTGAGGCAAAGGACACATGGACGCATACCAGCTGACCCCTTGAAGCTATAGATGCTTCGGACAGCCTCCAAGTCACCTATGAAAAAAGCTTGCGCTCTCTGTTTGAAGACAGCGCCCCCTGACAGAGCAAAGCCTGTTTCATTCTCTTCCGTGAGTACCTTGTCGAGGATCTTGATCATGATGGAGCTGTGGCCACCCTGCAGCTGCGCTAAGCAATAGCTTTGCACTGTTGCTAATGGGATCCAGCAGTTTGCATTTTTGATCAGATGTCCCAGCTCTAACCAGCTGATGTAGTATAGATTCCTCATCGCAAAAAATGATTGGAGTAAGAGGTCCTTTCTCCAACGCCTTCTCGATGGCATGCCTGAAGTCAACTGACTTCTGACACAGATGCTGGAGGCACGGCTTCAAATCCACCACTGGCAAAGCAACAGTGGATCCATCATGGCGAAGAAAAGGTTCATCTTGCATGGCGTCAATCCATGGCTTCAGTTCTGCAGCGACCAGGCGTTCAGCTCGCCCACGACTAATCTGCTTCTCATCTGATTGAATGATGTTCCAGATCTCAGCAGCGGCTCGCTCGCTCGCTCCTCTAACAGAGACAGCTCTGCGAAATTTGCGCTCATCTAGCAGAGGTAGGCGCCGTTTATTACGGCCAGGACCACGCGTCATCTGTTGCTCCTCAGGCCCATAGAGTTCCAGCAGCTTTGCTGTGGAGTCCATGGAGCTGTCATTGGTCATGAAGCCTCTATAAGAAAACCGTTCTGTTCTGCGGAACTTAAGCATCCAACATCGCGCTTCAACATCCACGACGAGTCAGTGCCCCAAAAAACAAAAAAGCGGAGACACCGCTATATAGGGTTTAGGGTTTAAAATACACATTGCGACCACGCGACAAAACACCACCAGAAAGGCTTTTCCCCCAGCGAGCAGCTGCGTGTAAGCACGCACATGAATTGGCACTGTTGGAGTGGAGAGACCATCAGTATAGGAAAACTAAGATTTAAAGACATCACTTGCCCTTTGGCTTGCTCGCCTTCTTGGGCTTTGGCTCCTTGAGAGCCTTTGCCTCGGCTGCTTTCTCTGCAAAAACCTTTCGAGCATCCTTCAGAAGCATCTGAGCAGCCTTGACTGTATCCTGGATGGCAGATGCCTCTCCCAAAGCCGGTGGATCGCTCTGAGCTCGCGCCGCTTCATCAGTTCCGATGATCGCAGTGGCACCTCAGAGACATAATGGGACACATCTGAGTTACATTCAGAGACAAGCAATATAGTATGACATGTGTTTAAGTTACAACAATGTATAAAGTATGTTTATGTATCGAGTATCAAAAGTATAGCGGTCACACCGCTGAAGCATGTTTCCTCCTGACAAGACGAGTGGCTCAGCTTGAGAGTCCTGATCTTGCCTTCGGCCTCCTGGAGATCTTTCTTCATCTCCACAGAGAGCACGTTAGCATTCTTTGCACTCTTGTCCATGACGCCCTTCAAGGAAACGTAGCAACTGTTCAGGTTGGCGATCGACTTGCTGGCCTTGGCAGTCTCTTTGCGCCAAGCCAAGGACCTCTGTCGCTCAGCCTTGCGGGCAGCTGTCGCGGCATCCTTCTCAGCGCTGTTCTTTGGAACTTTGTTTGCTCGACCCGCAGGGCGAACTCGTTCATCCTCACTAGGAATGGACCACACATCATCATCGATTTCAATTGCCTTGGGGGCGAGGGCATCAGGAACTGGAGCGGCCTTGGACTTCGGGATCTTCTTCTTGGCCTTCAGCTGGTATTCCTTCTCGGCGACCTCCTGCTCCATCGTGCCACGGATTTCCTGATCATCGATGACGCACAATGGCGCTGTCCAAGTTTCGCCAAAGACCTGGGTTGATAATCCAACTAAAGTGGCTTCGATGAAGACTGTTTAGCTATACGACAAAGGTCTTTACTCCAGAACTCAAAGATCTGCAGCGGGCACACCGCTAAATATATTACAGTTACAAAATAATTTACAGATGAAATTACAACGCGTACAAAAGCAGAGCAGCAGTCGATGAAAGGACAAGTAACCGCATCAGTTTGCTTTTGGCCGTGTTGTTTGATCTTCTCAACATCGAAGCCGCGAGTCGCCCAGACACTCAGCGGAAGAAATTCCCTGCGAACCGTCGTTTTCACCTGATTGGTCTTGAAGCGGGTCATCGAAGCAATGAGATTGCTTTTGACCAAAGCCCACCGCCCGTTCTTTGGGCATGTCTTGACCATGTCTGAGCTGGCCTTGAAGAAGCTCATTTGTTCCTCCGCGGTCATTGACTGCAGCGTGCTCGGAAGACCTCCAAGATGCCGGTAGAGCATTTGGTAGATGTTCGTGCAGTCACGACATTGCACACCGTAACCGCGCATGACTCCATCGGTCACATCTGTGGTTTGGCCACACTTGACACAGCTCTGTGAGCCGCCATCCTCAGCCGGGAGTACCTGCGTCTGCGAGGTTGGCACAGTCAGTGCCTCAGGGCTCTCCGCCGCCATGTGGTCTTGGTGGGGAATGCCACTAAGCGAACAGCCTGGCTATAGCCTCTGGTTCACGCAAGAAGTGAAAGACAAATTTGGAACAAAGTGGATGCAAAATCAATATAGACATGGAGAATATACGACGAAAAGTTGAAAGATATTCTAAAGATGTTCAATAGATATTCTATAGATATTCTATCGATAGCATAGATATACCATAGATAGCATAGATATTCCATAGATAGCACAAAGATTTTTGAGTATGGAATTCATGAAATATTTTGTCGATAGCATAGATATTCCATAGATAGCATAGATAGCAGATCGATAGCATAGATAGCACATCGATAGCAAATAGATATTCAATCGATAGCATAGGTACTCTTGAGCTAGAAGAGCGGTCACACCGCTAAGCAACCCATGACTTAAGTAAAGAGTACAGCGGGCACACCGCTATCAAACAATTCAAAATCAAGACACAAATATACAAATCTTTTTTCTCCAACTCTCCCGTGTCATGCGACTCAGGTGCGACCCGCAGGGCGCTTCAGTCCGCTGGCAGGCTTCTTCAGAACTTGGCTCTTCCGCTTCATCGGTAATGTCTTCATCGGTAATGTATGTGGTTCCGATCGCACCCTCCGCCTGTCCGAAAAAATACTTTCGCGAAACCATGAGGAACAAGTTCTTGATCAGTAGCGGACACACCGCTGCTGTGCCAAAAAAAGATGCTGGAGCTATACTTACCGCTGACAGGTAAAGGAAAAATGGCAGACACTTGTTGGAAAGGGTTGGCTTTCAAATAGGAAGACGGACTCACCGCTGACATGAGCCAGGAGACTTTGATGTTCCTGTCGTATCGTCCACTTCATCTGAGGTGGCAATCTGCTCGAGCTCCAAAGCCGCATGTCCAAAGATGTGTTCCAAGGTCTGTTTGCGTAGCTCTGGGTCCAAGTGCTTCTTGTTCACAATGCATAGGACTTGGCAACATCCCAAGCGCATGCGGTCAGCCTCCTCTTGCATCCTATCACATAGCCCAACGAAAGCGTCCAATGCCTGGCCACACAGACAGTCCTATCCGCTGTAGAAAGAAACGCTATATGAATAGAGTCATTTCTATGTTGGTATACAGGTTTTGGTTGTACTGCAGCCTTCCAGAAAGTGGCGCGGGGCCCCCATCGGCCAGGGACGGTGCACACGAACTCGCCCGACATTGCAGAAGTGACTCGCAAGCTCAGCTTGACCTTGTCCCACTCAAATTTGAACAGCAATTGCCCGTCCTGAGGCGATGTGGGCCGCACCAGCACAGCATGATTGCGGCTGTAGTTCAAGTACCTTAGCAGTTTCCATGTCCGCGTATCAAGAAACCAACAAGCCAAGATACTATATATATCTATATTTCTCTCTCTCTCTCTCTCTCTTTGTGTCTTCCATCTATGCATACAGTCAGGCTACACGTGCCAGTTCGGCTGATGTTCCATGTTTGGGTGGGTCTGCAGGTCGTACTTGTATAGCATATCTCCTAAGTACATGACCTTGTCCACGCACCTGTGTCTCATCTCTTGAGTGGGAGGCAAAGCCCTGAACTCGGCGTTCAGAGCCCATTGCGTCCAAAGATCAGGGCTGGTAAGAGCGTCCACCGAGGACCACGAAATGGTCGCATACTCAAAGCGCGCAGGGGCCATGATATCGGGAAAAGGTCTTGCAAGTCAGGATGGCCCTCTATACGTCGTCGCATGTCTGGAAGCCATGGGAACGAATTCCATCAGAATGTCACGAACAACAGCTTGGCACCGCTAAGCACATGCATAGCATATCAAAGGCAAACGGAAGGGTAGTGCACAGAAAGGGTTTTGCAAAAACCTATTCTACTAACGTCGTGGAAGGCGCGTGGCCTTCGTAGAACCCAAGGCTGTTCGTGGACAGTTCGTGGAATGGTGGGCCAGTAGGAGAACTGACTGCAACGAAATCCCAGAAACCTTCGCAGAACTTCGTGGAAGGTATTTTTGATGCACTAACTTCGTATAAGCGATTTTTGCTGACCCCCTTTCTCCACACACCCTCCGTTTAGCCTTCAGCATATCATGCTCATATATGTACTTTATATACATGTAGCGGATCACACCGCTGGTCTGATATATCAACAAATCTTCAGGAAGCAGAGCATTGCTAGACATTTTGAACCGGCTTCGATCGTCCTTGAGACGTGCAGGCCGTATACTCACTACGCGCCAAAAACCTCCTTCACAGCACGCTTTCCAGCCGCTCGTGCCCTCTGCAATCTCGCTTCATAGGCCAAACCCTTGAACTTACCTTGGGGAAGCTGTGTACCCAAAAGCATAGGTACTCTCCATGATGCGTACAGCGCACCAACATATACTTTTAAAACCAGGTCCATGAGAAGTATGTATGCGACTATTTGTATATGGATATGCGCAAGTATAATTATTGAGATGAACAGGAGTCTATCTGTGGGCAGGGGATTGTATAAGGATGACCATATGCAGCTGAACCACCCTGTGCTTGGTGATATGCTCTGGAGTACACGCACGTCCGCGTCATCTTCTTACTGGAGGGTTTCTTCTGAGTCTTGCTCTTCTTTGTGGTCTTTGCCTGGCTTTTCTGTTTGGTCTGCTTGGGCTTTTTAGTCTTCGAAGTCTTGGCGCCCAAACTGGCGGCTGGTCGGCGAAGAGTTGGCTTCCCACTGCTGCTTGGACGCTTCATGCCAGACTTGGGGGCCGCGCCCAAGCGCTCTGGCTTTGTCTGGCCACGCCCATGAAGAAGAGCATTGAGACGGTTCGCAGACTCATCCAGAGCGCCAGCTCCACCACTTGGCTGACATGCATCCTTGCCATCCTTTGACACACTTGGGTTTTCCTGTGCCACTGCAGCCAGAACCAAGCCGCGCTGGTCGGCTTCCTCTGCCACTGCAGCAGGCTCCACCAAGCCGTGCTGGTCGGCTGCATCAGCCGTGTTCTCCTGATATTTCTTTGTGGGAGAGTGGAAGAACCCCTTACGGGACTGGCACACACACCCAGTCCTGGAAAACTGGCACACACACGCTGGAAGGACAGCCAGGACTGGCACACACACGCTGGAAGGACAGCCAGGACTGGCACACACCCCCAGTCCTGGAAGGACAGCCAGGACTGGCAAACACACACCCAGTCCTGGAAGGACCGCCAGACTGAGAAATTTTAGCGGATCACGCCGCTACCTATACCGAATCACAATTGAATCCGAATGTGTGGGCACGCATGATCAGAACTTCAGTCCTCAAAGGTCTCGGGCTTCCTGTCTTCGATTGCCAGCACCTCTGCAGGCTGACGAAGCTGAGAAGTCACCGAGTTCGAAGATGAAGACGTTACAGCCCCTGCATTGTGACCCAGATGGAAGGCCAACTCCGCGAGCTGCACCATGCTGCCGCTCAGGCCCTCCTTTTCGTCGGCCTTCTTCTTCTGTATCTCAGTCTTCGGCATCCGCAACTGCGTGCTTCCAACAGCCATGAGCAGGTCGTCCATGGGAACACCTGTCATTTTCATATTCCAACGAACGATTGTGCGGCAAAGCGGTCACATTTAAACATGCATCTCCAAAGCGGGCACACCGCTGTCCCAAACGGTCACACATTCTATTATATATATATATTACATATAAACCCATGGAAAAGTTGGAGATCCATATGCATCAGCCTAGGCACGGCAGGGTACGAACGAATCTTGCTCGAATGCAACCAGGGCGAATTCAGCCGGTAGATCGGCTGGATTCTCTGGCAGCGTCTCCTGGTACTCCATGTAGACGTTGTCGTGGTCTCGGTTGGCCGTCTTGAACTTCTTCCAATCCTTCTTGAGCTGCTGGAGGGCCTCATACTTTTCCATGGTCGACTTGGGCCTGTTGGGTGCGCTGGTCAGGTTCAGGAGGCTATTGATCACAGCGAACGTGCTCTCTGAGGGGCAGCGAAGACCAAGCAGCCACAGGTGTCGTAGCAACAAGCCCGTGGCCTTCTCCTTTGGGTACTGGTTCAATCCATCCCACAGAGGACCAGGCAGATAGTGAACGAAAGACTGATAATTTTGTTGTTTGCGGCGTTCAGCTGCCATACGCTGGCCTATATATAGGTATGGCTGTCAGGTTCACAGCAGCCGAAATGTTACTATGAAAACAAAGTCTTGACCGTTGGTTCATCAGCAGCCAAGTGCAATCTTGAAACCAATCTATACAAAAACCTAATTGAGCGGACACACCGCTACCAAACAAACTATAGCGGCACACCGCTGTTACAAGTCACCAAGCGCCCTGATCCATGAAAGGTTCTACTTTTTTCACCGGTCACACCGCAGCAGTCCGGTCACCAGGTGTACCATTCATGCTTCCTCTGGCCGCCTCTAGCGCGCTTCACCCCAAAGAGCCTGATCTGCCGCTGCCGCGTAGATTCGCCCGGTAGCCAATCCTCGACAAAGCAACCAGTTGCGGCGTCACTACCTCAGTAAATGCTGCCACAGCAGAACACCCCAGACTCAGTACAAACAAGAACCTCAAACCTAACGACCACACCATTTGCACATTGTGGAATAGCGGCCACACCGCTGACAAGGGCTAGCGTCTTTATCAAACCAATGTTTGTGCTGGCGCAAGAAGTAATGAGGATGCAACTCAAGGTGCGGTTCCACACCTCTTCAGCTGGAGGCGGGGGCGCTGCCTTCACACGAGAGCCTGGAAGGAATGGTGCTGTCGGTGGCAGGGGCGGCGCTCCATCAAGTCTTTGAACCGGAGGCAGTGGCGCTGCCTTCACACGAGAGCCTGGAAGGAATGGCGCTGCCGGTGGCGGGGCAGGTAGATCTCCAACTCCGCTACAAGCAGCAGGTGCGGACACAGCTGGCGGTGGCTGCAAGGTCGAAGGAGCTGCTGGCAGTCCTCTCAAAAGTCACCAGACAAGAAATTGAAGTTTGGTCAGCTTGAGCTTCACCTGTCACATAAACTCGTTTGTGTATATATATAGATCATTTCAAGCTAGAAAAACTATATATATACACTATTCTCAGAAAATATAGTATAGCGGGCACACCGCTGATAGATTCAATGTACACGGCCCTGCGCACGCAGGCAACCAGGTTGTCCTGTTGGCTTTGAAGGGGCCTCCAAAGCTGTCATCCCACCCAATGCGAATGCCGCAGCAATCGCAGTCGCCCAGTGCTCCTCTGACATAGGCTCCATGGGTGCAGTAGCTTGTGGTCCTGTCGAACTGGATGCCGTCTCAACTTCAACAGCCGGCGCAGACTTCTTCTTCGACTCCGGTCGCCAAGGCGGCGCTGCAGGCTCCGTTGCCACAGGTTCTGCCGGCTTTGGCTCGGGCTTCTTCTTCGGTGTTTGTTGCAAAAGCACAGCAGCAGGCTCCGTTGGCACAGGCTTTGGCTCCGGCTTCTTCTTCGCCGTCTGTCGCAAAAGCGGCGCCACAGGATCCATTGCAGCAATGGATTGTTCAAAAAAGCCAACACTTCTGACATTTCTTTCATTTTTCATTGGTGTGCATTTACGTTTGTATAGCTTTGAACCTAATCAGCTGTTGCTAGGTCAAGTTGTAAATATCGTCTGCCTTCAGGGGGTGTTGGCTCACCAGCTGCGTGCAGCGGCCGAGTGCAGCAGTCACACCGCTCAATTACTTACAGCATTTATAAACACACCAACGTGTGCAGCGGCCGCGTGCAGCGGTCACACCGCTCATTAACTTACAGCTTTTATATAAACATACAAACGCGTGCAGCGGCCGCGTGCAGCGGTCACACTGCTCATTTACTTACAGCATTTATAAACACACATAACGTGAGAAAAGAAAACATATTCTATACCTATCAAACTCACCACATGGATCTTCAAATTCGACACAAACAAAGCAGCCGACACAAAAAGTACGAAAATCCAAATAGAATCGTTCACAGTGCAAAATAGATCTAAAAAAAAGGAAATATGTAAATAACCACATGTACGGCGATTTTTTCAAAAACCTTGCAAATTGACGCAAAATTTCTGGCAAGACACTGCAAACATTAAAATTCGCAAGGAAAACATAACTAGGATAAGTAGAAATAAGTAGAAATAAGTTACTTGCCCTACTTAAATCCGAAAAAAATAGAATTAAGCAAACTTACTTATGTTAACTTACTAACTAACTTATCTAGGCCTTAAGTAGGTACAAGTAGGTTATAAGTTCACCAACCCCTAACCCTACTTATAAGTTACTTAGCCATGTTAAAACCATGTTAAAACCATGTTAAAACCTACTTATAAGTAGTACAACTAGGTTTGGTCCTCAAGGCAGGCATGCCAAAATCCTAGTTACAGTCCCATTTGAAGCTTGTGCCCGCAAGATCGCTGAGAGCGCTTTACATCAGAACTCTCACAAAGCCGATCCTATGTGTTTTGTTTTTGCTTGCTATCCAGAGGC